ATCTACATAAGCAGTAACTTTTTCAAAGAATGTCAGAAGATTTGTAAGGCAAGATTTTTCCCTTAGTGAAACCATGTTGGCTATCGAATATAATTATAAACTTTGTTAAATGACTTTGCAAAGCATATTTTATCAGACTTTCCAAAACTTTTCCCACAACTGACGTAAGACTAATGGGTTTATAATTACTGAGACAATTTTTATCACCTCCTGTGAAAAGAGGAATTACGTTAGCTAACTTCCAATCCTCTAGTACCTGCCCACTATTCGAGGGCTGACAAAAAATAATAGCAAGTGGCTCACATGTCCAATCTTTAACCTCCTTGGTGAAATATTATATGGCCCAGGAGCCTTATCGTAATTTAAACTTTCTGAATGTTTCTTAACTAGCTCAGAATTAATGCAGCCATCTTGTTCGATCTTGTTTCCATCTATCAGTTGTTCAAGATGTGGAATGCTGCTTAAATCTTCGTTAGTAAAAATTGCAGAATAAGCAAGATTTAATGACCCATCCATCTTATAATCATCAGATACGAGCCTTCCTTTATCATCCCTCAAGGTTCCTACCCCATCCTAACATTTTGTTTACTCTTTATGTGTTTAAAGAAATCCTTATTGTTCAATTTTACATTTTGTTTGTTTGAATTTATGCACAGAGCTACACAATGGGCTATCTGTGCTCTGCCCATCACGGATATCGTAACCCAGTTTCTAGCGTTTTAAGTCCGCAGACATACCGCTGTGCTACTGGGAGGGGGGGGGGGCTTTTACATTTTCAGCCAACCTTTTCTCATACATCCTTTTTATGTCATATTTTCCTGTTTCACCAACTTTCTTGATCTTCTATAATCTTCTAACTCTCCTGTCATACCAGTCAATTTAAATTTCTTATACAGCTTGTTATAAACATTTTTCGAGGTTGAACAATTAGATGCAGATAAACACTACTAACAAAAAAATAAAAATAATTACTATAAAAAATATACTCAAAACTACTAGATGTCACAATAATATCAATCATACAGTTCAGTAAAACAACGGTTTGTCGAATCTATTTGGATTTTAGCACAAATTTTCACAAAAATGCTCCATTTATGGGGTCTATAATTTGTATGATGGGGTCTTCTGGTCTAAATGAAAATTGAAGTGATTTTATATTTCAGTCTAGTATTTCGAACACTGGGATTTTAAGGTTGAATTTGTTTTTCATCCTCTGTAGTAAGAAGTATTTTTAACATGTTCCTCATCTTACCACAAAGTGTCGTTTCAAGTTGAGTCATTAACTGTATTTATCACATCCCTCAGGAGCCAAGGGGTGTCTTTACACTACAATTTGTTAAATATTAAAAGTAAGTTCAATGTGGAAACTCCAAAAGAGGGTGGTTTTGGAAGTATCTTTTCGAGACAACTTCGAGATAAATTTTCGTTTGTTAATTGATAAATTTTTAAGTGAAATACAGCATCCTAAAGTCTCCATACTAGCTAGTACTAAAGTCTACCCGCTGGGAGTAAATCCAGTATACATCAATAAAGCCACATTCTTAGCATCCTTAATTAAGCAACTGCCAACCTTTTATGCTTCTGCTATCACTTTTTTATGTTTAGCCTTCAATTGAGATAAGAACGATTTCACCTGCGATTCGGTAGAGAAGGTCAAAGCATCACGATAGTCAGCAGTAGGATCAGCAGACAGGAACACTTTGAAAGAAGCTACGAGCATAATATAGTATTCAGTTGCTGCACAGTATCTACCAAGATGGTTCTAAGCGGTTCCTGAATACCTCTGCGTGTCATTTGGAGACTTCCATGCTTCTTGTGCTTGGCTGTTAAGCTCGTGATGCGCTGACGGATTTCAATCACCTTAGCACTTCAAATCACCTTTCGCAGCCCCAACGCTAAAAGAGTGTGGGAAATGTCTTATTTTAGCTAATAAAAATGTCCAAAAAAATTCAGTTCAAATTAAGAAAAACCGGATTCGGTAGTATTTTATTTTGTTTTTTTTAACAAAAATGTTCCCCACTGGCTCGTGAGAGGGCTTTTAAAATGATGGAGCTCATCTGAGAATCTTTTTCTTTATTATTACTGTAAGTGACAAAACGGAAAAGAAGCAAAATGAATTTTAATGTTTTCGATTTTCTTAAAAACTGTTTATTATACAACGTTTAGCCTACAGATACGACAAGGTGTTCTTTTATAGAATTATACAGTCAAGTATGTAAAAAAAATGACGCCACCTAACGGAAATTGTATCAAACTAAGTAAAAGTGCATAGATGTTATAATTCATTTCGATGTCTTAACCAAAAGTTTATATTTTGATACGTGATTTTATATATACATATATTTATATATATGTATCAGATTGTTATAAGTAAATAACACAACGCAATTAGAATAAAGTTTCGCTTAGAATGAAGACACTTCGGAACAGTCAGATCAGTGGATTCAACTTCCGGTTTAGTTCATTTACCTTTTATTTTACTAAAGTTTACTTTATTGTCCTACTAGTATGCAATCCAACTCCATACAAAGCATAAACAGTCTTTGTATTTACTACAGTTTTATTTTACAAATTATTAATTTAATGAGGACTATTATCTTTCTAGTTTACGCTTGAACACCACATAGAGCATAAACTGTCTTCGTATTTTACTAGTTTTATTTTACTAATTACTAATTTAATGAGAACTGTTGTCTCTCTAGTTTGCGCTTGAACCCCACACAGAGCAGAAACAGTCTACCACAATTTAGTTTGAAGGACACTATAGCGAGCTCTGTTTGTCCTCGAATTCCCCTTTGCCAATCGACAAAATACCGAACCATAGATGGTAGCTGTAACAACCTACAAAATCCTACCTGGGGCCAATCTTTTACCTCATTTATCCGTTTGTTGCAATCAAATTACGCTGATGGTAAGTATCCTATTGCTGTAGAAAAGAGCAAGATCTAAGCTTTATCTTCTAATTTAAGATTTGATGAGGAGAATACTAATTATGAAAAAAAAAAGAAACAAACATTCATAATCTGTATCTATGTTATATGTTTTAGCAAATCTACAATTAAACCACGAACGATTTTCAGTCTTCATTTAAACGAAATAATTTGCATATTTTCTTTGTAATTTTCTTTTCAGACAAATATATTTAGCAATATTTCTAAATTAGGCAAAAAGAAAATCAACGTATAGATGTCACTCCAAAGATGGCAAGGGTAACTTTTGCTTGTTAAGAACAAAGTCACACAACAGACTATCTGTACTGTGCCTACCGCGGGTATTTAAACCCGATTTTTAGCGTTATAAGCCTCCAGACTTACCGCTGAGCCACTAGGAGGCGCCGAGAGTAACAAAAAGTGTCTTTCCAAAGAATAAAAGTTACAAAATATTTAACATGATCATAATATAAGTTTGAAGTTAAGCAGTTAATTTTGACTCAAGACATGCAGTAGATAATCAGATCAGGTCGATAAAACAATGTTCAGTAGATAATCAGATGAGATCGATGAAACAATGTTCAGTAGATAATCGGATGTGTTCGATGAAACAATGTTCAGTAGATAATCGGATCAGGTCGATGAAACAATGTTCAGTAGATAATCGGATCAGGTCGATGAAACAATGTTCAGTAGATAATCGGATCAGGTCGATGAAACAATGTTCAGTAGATAATCAGATTAGGTCGATAAAACAATGTTCAGTAGATAATCAGATTAGGTCGATAAAACAATGTTCAGTAGATAATCAGATGAGGTCGATGAAACAATGTTCAGTAGATAATCAGATGAGGTCGATGAAACAATGTTCAGTAGATAATCAGATGAGGTCGATGAAACAATGTTCAGTAGATAATCGGATCAGGTCGATAAACAATGTTCAGTAGATAATCGGATCAGGTCGATGAAACAATGTTCAGTAGATAATCGGATCAGGTCGATGAAACAATGTTCAGTAGATATTTAGATCGGGTCGATGAAACAATGTTCAGTAGATAATCGGATCAGGTCGATAAAACAATGTTCAGTAGATATTTAGATCAGGTCGATGAAACAATGTGCAGTAGATATTTAGATCGGGTCGATGAAACAATGTTGAACATAGTTTTTAAAGTTTTAAAATTGTCTTATAATTTGTGCAAAGCTACATAAAGGCTATCCTAAAAAAAGCCGTCGTTCCAAAGTTTCAACTGATAGACTAGAGGAAAAGCAATCAATCAACAGCATACTCTATCAACTCTTGAGTTACTCTTATCTTACCGAATAGTGGGATTTGATCGTCACTCTTGTAATGTACCCTCGGTACCAGTGCTTTTCCTATTTTTTTCTAGTCATTTTTTTCTTTTCCTATACTGAACTTCAACTAATGCAGACAAATATACTTTCTAAACGTTCACAGAAATTTTCGAATTTCAAACCGATATATAATGCATCACTTACTGAAATGTTCCTTAGGGATTAATGTAAGCTAAAATAACAAACAAAAAAAATATATAACTCACTCACACTGAATCGTTGTTTAGCGTTCATTTCACAATCATTCGTTATTTACGACGGAACGAAACGACGTGAAACAGGCGAGTTAATAGATTAGTTGTTTGGATACTACGTTACTGTTATTTTTCCTTTAGAAAAAAGAAGCCGTTTTGAAGTATTTTAATAAACTTGATCATTTTGCGAACTTTCATTTGGATATTCTTTGTTCTCAAGGTGGCCTCGTAATGAAACATTTCAATTTGTGAGCGTCACACAAGTCTAAAAACAGATGAAACTCCTATAATAGATTTCACAATAGGTTGTTTTAACACTGATGCAGAATCAGTTCTAGTTGTTATTATAGAACGTTATAATTGTTCAAAAAGGCGTAATTATCATACAATGTCATACATATATTAAGACTATTTTTTTTATAATAAGACTTACATTTGCGGGCTCACTAAGTAGATAAAATCCTTGTTTTCGATAAAGAATCAATATTTATATAATAAACTAACACGTCGATGAACTCATTAGTGATTACGCAAACCTAGCTTTTCCCCATTAATGCAGCTGCTGTATTTCAGAATATCTTATCCGTTAATAACAAGCTATTTTCGTCTATATAAAGAATATAATGACGTGAGAGCACGTGTAGTAATAATAATAACTGTGACGTACCATCTGCTACGAGAAACCTAAAACATTGATTGTCCGCACTGGTATCTATATATGTATAAGTGTGTGTGTGTGTGTGTGTGGAAGATCGTCAGCAGAAAAAAAAAATTAGGGAGGTCAAGTAACTCAAGTTTGAAAAAAAATTATGAAATCGAAATACAAATACCTTATAATTTTCCAAAAACATAGAAGAAGAATTTTACATATCTAGTAACTTTTTCTTTTTGAAAATCCAGGGGGGGTCGCCCCTCCCTGCGGGCGCCCATATGTGTGTATGTATATGCCCCCCAGTGGCACAGCGGTATGTCTGCGGACTTACAACGCTAGTATTCGGGTTTCGATACCCGTGGTGGACAGAGCACAGATAGCCCATTGTGTAGCTTTGTGCTTAATTACAAACAATATATATATATATATATTTTATAAAGAGTTAGCACAAAGGATCACATATAAAGTGTAATAGACTTACATAAGACCCAAGACTCGAGCGCTTTCGAATTGTTAACTATTCTTCTTCAGTAGAGCAAAATGTTTGTTCTCCTGAAAAAGAATAGTCAACTATTCGAAAGCACTCGAGTTTTTGGTCTTATTTTAAGTCTATATATAAGCCTGTGCTTTTCTCTTACCTAACGCAAAGATTCAAAATATAACGATAATTAATATCTTTGTTTTATACAAAGGTCTTACTCATCTCCCAGTAATTAGGAGTTTCGCTTCTGCTTCAAAAACAACGCTTTTATCTACAAATAGCTTTTATGATTCTACCTTTCATCAAAAGAGCTTATAGTGATAACACGTATTTTGATATTCCGAATTGATATTTCTGCCTGCGAATTTAAACTTCATCAAAGTTGTTTTGGTATTAATAACGGATTTTCCATAATTCAGCTACGCAGATTTCGAAAATAATATTCTTTTTCTTTTTCTATCACGTAAGGATTATTATTTCTTTTACCACAATGAATATTTTTTATCATTATGTTTGTTAACAAAAATATAAACAAACTGAAGAAATGAGAAGAACATTGATGTCAAACGAATATGGATCCTTACGTGATAGAAAAAG